CCACGCACCCCCACACCCCCTCCCTGCCCCACATCCCCTAATTGCCCCCAACAGGCACTGACCCTGCCCAGCCTGCCTGCCACCCACTGCAGGCACCAGATCCACCACTGCGCACCCCCCAGACCGTCCCACAGCCTTTGCCCAGCCCCCAGGCACCCACGGGTGCCTCTTGCCCGTCCGTCCCCAAGGGCCATGACTGGTCCCTGCCCAGGGCACCCTTGCTCTTCCCTCGGCCCCTGCCACAGCAGGCCGGCAGGCACCTGGCTTTTCACCATCCCCTGCTGCAGACCCCTAGGACAGAGCTGCAGGACAGAGATTAAACCCACCGGTCACCGATGCGCAGGGCATCCAGGCACTGGCTGAACGAGGGAACGACCCAGGAAACCGCTGAGTGACCGGAGGCCGGGCCACCCACACCCCCGTCTCCCCAGCAGCGAGCTGGCCAGGCGTCCACCAGCTCCAGACCCCAGACTAGCCCCAAAGGCAGGACGAGGGCCACAGAGGAGGTGAAATGAGAGGCCCCGTCCAGGCCCTGGGAGCAGAGCGGAGCCCGCTTCTCTCCCTGCATCACCGCAAGAGGTATACTGCAGTGCAAAAGGGTCTGATCAAGGTGGACCGGGACTGCTGGCCAGCCCCAGACAAGCTCCCCGCCTGGCACTTGGGCTCAGGGAGCCCAGCACAGCTGGATCCATCCTCTCCAAGTCACCTCCATCCTCCAGGCCTGGCCCCACTGGGCCTCGCAAAAGCAGAACAGCCCAGGCAGCAGCAGCACTCTGATCACTATGCTGAACAGAGGCCTCAAGCAGATCTCTTCCAGGAAGGTCTGCAAAAGCATGAGTACGGGCTCCGGGTTCAACAGGAGCCTGGTGGCCAGTGCCCGATACACCGCCTCTGGGAGAGCACTCAAAGGTGCCACGTAATGAGGTCTCCCCGATTCAAGCAACAAGCCAGCAGCGTGAAGGTCAAAGCCAGCACAGCACTGACAGCCCCAGCAGCGATGCTGGGGCAGCAGGACAGGGCAAGCCATGCCCCAGGCAAGGCTGGGGGGAACTCCAGGCTTACTGCAGGACAACTACAAACACATCTAGGCTGCAGGCACACAGCTCCACTGCATGAATCCCAGCACTTGGACAGTAAGGGCTGCTTATAAATCATCCGCTTGGTGGTCAGAGGGGAAGGCTACAACGCAGCGTTGCTGCATCACTTGGCACTCCTTGTCTTGTCAGAGCAGCAGGGGGGAGACCGACTCAGCCGAGTCAAGACAACACAGCAGCTCAGAGCCAGCCCAGCCGCTCCTTCCACAGGAGGTGGCAGCAGCGGGTCCCACACCCTCCTTCCAC